TCTCTCTCTCTCTCTCTCTCTCTCTCTCTCTCTCTCTCTCTCTCTCTCTCTCTCTCTCTCTCTCTCTCTCTCTCTCTCTCTCTCTCTCTCCTTTATTACTGACTATCGCTTGCTGCCGCTCTCTTCTTCTATCTCTCTTTCTCACTTTCTCTCACCCCCCATCTCTTGTCAATTCTCTTGTCAGCTCAAGTGGTTCCCATGTCAGGTGGGTGCCAAAGATAAGGAGTTCGATCCACTAAAGGCTCAGGGCCTGAGTTTGGGGTGGGGTGCCAGGATGCCCAGTCCTTCCTTGTGCCTTGGGTCGGATTACCGAATCCCACGCCACTCTACTAATGGCATGTTCATTTTCGTTGTCACACCGCGATAAAAAGGTGGCTACTTGTTTCTTGAGCGAATCCAGAGCCGTCTCACTTAGAGGCCAGAGAATCGACCTATTATACCACAAGGAGGCTAAACATATCTGGGGTCCTTGTAGTATAGGGGGCTACTGCTATCCGGGGCCCTAGTGGTACTAAGATAATGTTAACCACTAGGGCTCTTCCCGAAAGGCGAGGTCTGTTTGTGGTTCCAGTTTGCTAACTAAGCTGCGGTTGGGGACGTGATCCAGTCATCGACTCATTATACCACAAGAGGCTAAACATATCTGGAGTCCTTGTTGTATAGGGGGCTACTTCTATCTGGGGCCCTAGTGCTACTACGATGTTGTTAACCACTAGGGCTCTTCCCGAAAGGCGAGGTCTGTTTGTGGTTCCAGTTTGCTAACTACGCTCAGAACCTCCGAAACTTCATCAAGGGGTAAATACTTTCTTCGAGAAGAATACAAACATTCAGATAAGAATGGCGAGGCAAGCGCATTCCATTCTATAGGTAGGAAGAGATCGGACAAATGCACGACTTCCGACGGCCCCAGATTATCCGGCGGCAACTTTGAGGAAACGATCAACATAATTTTGTGTCCGTCTTACAAAGCTTGAGGAGCGTAACGAACGAGACAAACATTTCTCTATGTGCCCATACGCGCTAAGAGCAACACATTGAAGAGAAGGAATCGTGGCGAGTTCAAGCATTCACTACGTACAGGCACATGCACAACGACCATGCACTTCAAAACAAAGAGAACTCAGAAGGTTCGGGAATCCAAATAGCGAAGAGAGAGAAGAGGTTGTCTCAGCATGCAAAAATTTCCATATAGAAAAAATAAACTGAAACCAAACTTGCAGATTACTCTACTCTCACACATGTAGGCCCTCACCCAACCAACCACCATCTCTTATCCCTGCTAGAGTACCGCCGATCCCAGCCGTCGCACACTTAGCGCACCCTTCAGCGATCGGCACCCTGTCTACCTGAACTCTACACTAATCCGCCCGGATCCTCGTCGCAGCTATCTGGAGTGTGATCCCTCAAAGTTGCAGAAGACCCGTCAGGACTTTTCGACCCGCCAATCACTCCTATATAGCCACTACTCGCCTTGAGCTGGCTGATAGCAACCTAGAGGGAGAGAAAGACGCGCTTGCGAGATTTATAGTTGCGAAGGAGGCGGAGGAGCGACGCATAGAAGGAACAGAGAAAAGGGATGGAAAGATGGGATAACGGGTCGAGAAGGCCATGTTGATTCCGCAAAAGTGCTCGGCCATGTCGATTCCGCAGAAGTGCTCGTAGCCAATCGAAACGCAAAGCGAGGGGCTCAGAGTCATTCTCCAC